TGCGACTCCACGCCTCTGGTCCTAAGGCATACATTCAGACCCGACCTAAAGCCGCAACCGTCGCTTCACGCCTGGGCGACAGCGGCTTGACCCCGTCTGCCAGCTAGTTGTTAGTGGCCGGGACACGGTACCCACACCGCCTCCTACCACTCCAGTCGTCGGCCTAGGGAGGTGAAGTAACCTGCCCCGCCTGGTGACCTCTCTCTCAAGTCGCGGTTGATTGGTAGCTCGGAGGCCAGATACTCAGGACTTTCATCAGCCAAAGCTCGGCGCGTAAGTGTTGGCATGCTGTGGTCCACTAACGTATGCATGGTTGTGATGAGCGTACGCATTATTTGGCATTGGTGAGGGGAGGTGCAACATATGTTTGACACAGTTTAAACCGAAAAACCAATTTGATTCCGCAATCGCGATTTGTATTCCATTCACTTGTACATGCCTTCCGTAGCCCTATTTAGAGTTGCGGCGCGTTCGGCCGATAGATAATCTCAGAAAATTATCAAAAATATGGGGAAATTTTCGGGAATGGCGTTTGGCATTTCCAGCACGGATAAATGTCCCAGACAATTTTTTGTGGCGAGGGAGAGTCACGGAACATTTTCAGAGTATGGTCAAGATAAGAATCTTCTTTGCTATGTATATCTTTGACCGTTGGCTGTGTATGACACACGGGAAACGGATCTGGGGAATAATTTCCGGACCCCCCGACCGTACATAGACAACCTCCGTAGATGATTATCGGAGAACTAATTATTCGTTGAATAATCTTCCCTCGGCCGAACGCGCCCTTGGCCTAGACCATTGACATATGTCATGTCAATGGACCAGACGGGCTAGACGGAGGAGTCTGAACTGCCTTATGTCTACGATTATAATACCGTCGAAATGACTCATCCGGTACTATTTGACCTTTTTGTGACCAATCAGCATCAAAGTAAGCTGGTGGTTTTGCTGATGTGTGCGTCATTTTGGTAGCGATGTGTTCTGTAGCGGGCAGTTTAAAAGGCAGCATCTTGCGCGGCGTTTGTGGCATTCGTGGCCTCGCTGCACTTCTGCTTGCGTATTCTCGCGTGCGTGTTTTCTACCATTAGGTAACTTGGTATGTTTCGTGGTGCGCGGGCCTGGGATGGTGTGCTGAGCAGTGAGCTGGGACTTGAGAGAGGTTGGGGTCGTGAGCCGGAAGTTCGGTGTGGTGGTTGATTGGTAGGTCATGACAAAATGATTTCAGCTTCTTTGGTGAGAGAACCCATGGTGATGTCCGAGGCACACAAACTTGTGCGATTCATCTGGGGTATATTGTCCGAATTTCAACCAAAGTAAATGGCAGTAAATCTGAAACGGACTAGCTGGAAAATGAAAGTCAGATTCAAATCTGACACCAGCACAGAATTGCAGTTTCTGAATCAGCATAAAATTTGTCTTGTTGGAACCAGAGCAGCAAATCTGTAAGCAAACACATCAGTGCATGTGTGCACACATGAACAAACTGTATTTTAAATAGTGTATTGAACATATGCAATGTATACACATGGTATATTTGCATGCATTATGTTGCATTATGTATTATGTACATCATTAAAGCAAAAGCACCATAAGCATTGGCATACTGATGTTCAGTAACAAATGTACTAGTACCTGAAAGAGGATAATGTACATATTCAAGATAGCTTGAAAGCTTATATGAGTCCAGGTAGGAATAAGATAAACTGGCTTGCTTTCTAAAAAGTAACTTTTGGTCTTGACAGCTCTTCTTGCTTACTTCTATGTTAATCTGCTGTGTCTCCACCAACCAGTGAGGTGGCTGATGTATTTACACTTAAGGTACATGTAATGCTAGCAAACACTGATCAAGTAGCTCACCTTGTGTAGTGTCAAGCTGACCATGCTGATTGACCATCACCCTGGAGGCAGCAAAGCATCCTGTTACATTTTGTTGTTGTAGTTATTGCAAGACAGAGGCAAATCATTATAGATTCCATTACAATTAAATCAAAATTTGATTTCAGGCAAGATTTGGGACAAAGTAGCTGTATTTGAATACTATCTTAGCCAAATGGGATCAATTCCAGAAATTTAGTTGATGCAGCTGAAGTCAAGCACAGGTCTGTGGGTTTCCAATAAGTATGATTATGAGCAAGTTTTACTTGTCTTTACCTTAGTGCATGTCATAGAGTGGATCAAAATATGTGCTCAGTGCTCTGGAACTATCATTATACCAAATAAATTAGCATATATGTTTTGTGTTCAAGTAAGCACCCTGTGCTGACTAAAACTTATGTAAAAAACAGGAAATAATTGTGCTTGTACAAACACAGCACTGGCATGCATGTCACTGGTTCATGGTTCATGCATATGGTTTGTGTATATCAAAGGTGAGGCATGTGGGAATCAATAATATGCCATGACTCCCAGTCAAATGTGTGTATCCTCTGGTTTCTTTGATTTCATCTTGCATTTGGGATTTTGGTAATTTTGCACTTCATTTTGTTCATGGCAGTCATTAATGTGTTCAAGTTGTTCATCACAGTCTTTATCTGCAGAGTTAAAACTTTACTTTACCTGGCCAGTCAGGATCACTGCTGAATGTAGACATAGTGACATGTTAAGTGGCATGGGGTTCATTTTGCTTTTACACTGTTTTACAATCAAAACAACAAATCCCAATAATCTTGACTGATGCTGAGGTATAAACTGCATCCATGCCAATGGTGGTTGTGTCCATAGATTTGACTGCATTTGGCATAAGCAGTACTGACTAAGTGTCACCATGCTTGCACACAACCATGTTTTGGGTAATCTCCAGCTGCCAGCTGCCATGAAGCATTGCTGAGTCCTCCTGACATGGCCAGGGTGAGAAGGAGAGCAAAAATGAAAATGAGGGGGGGGGGGACATTTGAGTCAACATCTATTTAACTGACTGATGGCCTCTGGTGTGTCATGTCACTGGTAGCTGACTGATATATCTGTCACTTGTGTGCCATGTCACTGGTGGCTGACTGATGTGTGTCCTGTCACTAGTGACTGACTGATGTATCTGTCACTGGTGTATCATGTCACTGGTGGCTGACTGATGTATCTGTCACTGGTGTATCCTGTCACTGGTGGCTGACTGATGTATCTGCCACTGGTGTGTCATGTCACTGGTGGCTGACTGATGGCCAATGGTTATCATGTCACTGGTGGCTGACTGATGTATCTATCACTGGTGTGTCATGTCACTGGTGGCTGACTGATGGACACTAGTGTATGATGTCACTGGTGTGTTGTTTTGTGCCATGAATGCCATCACTGATGGATGGACGTTGGATGAAAGTTTTGCCAGGCTGGGATGAAAAAAGGCCTTTCTGCATCCTTCGATGTAAGGAAGGTTATTGCTATTAGGTAATTTTGTGTCTATTACCAAAGACGCGAGCTGAAGGTGGCAGGTACCTCTTCTGCTTGCCAGCCTAAGGGGCACAGATATCCTAAAAACTGTAGACACTTATTTTTGGAGCTTTATTCAAGCCACCACAAAATGTGTACAACGACAAAGCATTAAGCAAGCGCATAATTTAAGGGAGGGTAGGGGGCACTGGGTCACACCTTTACACTTGTAACTTTGTGTGGAGGAAATTCCCGAAGGAACCAACGGCTTGCTGGTGATGCTTATTTGTCAATGCGTGCGTCTCTTTAGTTAGCAGTGCTCTTGCATTTCATAACAGAATACCTGAAACGGAGGTAGCTACTGTGCTCAAGACCTTAAACCGCCTATGAATGGCACTGTTGATCATGTGTTATGTTGACAGTTTGGTGCGGCCGTCCCCGGCATGAACCGAGGGCGTGACGTCACGGCCGGGAGTCCGATGTCCGCACCCCGCGGAACCTTGGCCCCAGCGCTTCCGTCGTCAGCCTCCGGCGGGGTGACCCCGTCGAGTCCCTCGCCTGCCGGCGGCGTCGTGGCCATGCACTCGGCTCCCGTCCTCGGTGGTCCTGCCGCAAGCCCGGACCAGCGCAGGGTGGCGTCGCACACCCGGGGTGCTGACCGGCCGCCGGCGACGGAAGACGGTGCCAGCGGCGCGCGGGCGGCGACGGATGACACCGTCAACGAGGCGTCGATACAGCACGCGGCCGCCGAGGAAGAAGCACGTCACGGTGACGATGATGTCGTCGATGCCTCGGAGCGCGCGGCGTCGGGCCTGTGTGGTGTCATCCGCCGCTCGTCTGCCGGGGAAGGCGCCACCGACCGGGTGTTGAGCATGTGTGAGTCGGCTGACCGGCAGCCGGCGGCGTCCCGCAGCGCGGCGGCGGCCGGCGCCGAGCCGTGGCAGGCGCTCTCGGCGCCAGACGTGCGCTGCTGCCAGCCGCTGCCGCAGCCGACCGTCTGCGTGCTGGCCGGGTGCACGCTGGCCGCGGCCGCCGCCAGCTCGGCGCCCGTCGCCGGCCAGGTGAGTGGTCGCCCCGCCGGGCGAAGCGCATTCGGCGTAGGCTATGATCGTTCGGCACTCGTGGTTTCGATGAGACCACTGCGTGAGCTGGTGACCATTTGACCGGTTTGAATTCATGACAAGTGTCTGACGGTGTGACTGGCTGGGGCTATGGTCTCTGCTGTTACTGGCCGGGGCCTGTAGTCTCTGCTTTGACTGGCTGGGGTCTGTGGTCTGCTGTGTTCTGTGTTCTCTGCTGTAACTGGCCGGGGCCTGTAGTCTGCTTTGACTGACTCGGGTCTGTGGTCTGCTGTGTTCTGTGTTCTCTGCTGTAACTGACCGGGGCCTGTAGTCTGCTTTGACTGGCTCGGGTCTGTGGTCTGCTGTGTTCCGTGTTCTCTGCTGTAACTGGCTGGGGTCCGTGGTTGTCATCCTCACTGGCTGATGTCCGCGCGCTGTGCTACCATCGGCTGAGCTCTGTTATCCGAGACTGTAGACTGCTGCTGCTGAGTCCGTACGGACCCCGTCGCCTGCCCTGCCGGCAGCGCTCTGTCGCGCGTCTCTCCACCGTCTCGGGGATCCGCGGCGCTCCCTCGGCCGCCTCCCACGGCTCGCGCACCTCGCCGCTCAGCAGCATGGGGCCGTTCTGCCGCATCTGCCACGAGGGTGGGTGTGCCTGGCGGCGCCTGGGCGCCGCGCCCGGCCCGGCTGGGCCAGACGCTGACTACGGGTCGGTCACCGCCACCCGCCGGCTTAAGGGCCTAGGCCGAACTGGGACCGCCCGCTACCGCTCCACAGCCAGCTTTCGCTTTTGGCGTATATGGGAAGCCTGTGGTAAAATGTCGCGCATCTGGCGCCGCACATTCGTGGGAAAGCTTGCGGTGTGATCGGTGTATTCTATATTTTAAAGCGCGTCGTAATACGCAGCCTCAATGCAAATAAGAAAACATAAAGCTGCACGCTAGAGTGCCTAATGTGTTTTTGATAAAAGCGCTCGCCAAATTGTTGTTGGCATGAACTTGATTGTTTGGCTGTTGGCATGCACGTGGTTGCGTGGTTTTTGGCATGCCCTTGATTGCCTGGCTGTTGGCATGCACGTGATTGCTTGATTGTTGGCATGCGCGTGATTACGTGGTGAGTATAGTTGAGACGGAGCGCGGTCGTCGGCCGCCGACTGAACGCTCGGGGCGCTGCCCTGGCCAGGAGAGAGCCGGGAGGCGCTGATCTCACCGTGTCGCTGCGCCGGCTCCGTCGGCCTGGTGCACGTCTCCTGCATCGAGAAGTGGCTGTCGGCCGCCAACAAGGACTCCTGCGAGATCTGCATGTATAAATACGTTACTGAGCGGCGGCCCAAGCCTATCCTCGAGGTGGGTCGATGGCAAGCCACCCCTGCCTTCGTTACCTCTTTCGGCTTCAGTCACTGTCTGCTGCCGGCCGTTGGCCACCTGCTGCAGTGTCTGCTTTGTCTACGTAACCCGTCAATGCGGGCATAATAATATAAACGCTCGGCACACACCTGCTAGAGGGCATGTATGCCTTGCTTACACTATGACGAGTGGAGCGCAGCTTCAGATCAAACTACAGTCGTGACGCAAGATTCTGGTGTGTGTGTGTGTGTGTGTGTGTGTGTGTGGTGTGTGTGTGTGTGTGTGTGTGTGTGTGTGTGTGTGTGTGTGTGTGTGTGTGCGTGCGTGTGTGCGTGCGTGCGTGCGTGCGTGCGTGCGTGCGTGCGTGCGTGCGTGCGTGCGTGCGTGCGTGCGTGCGTGCGTGCGTGCGTGCGTGCGTGCGTGCGTGCGTGCGTGCGTGCGTGCGTGCGTGCGTGCGTGCGTGCGTGCGTGCGTGCGTGCGTGCGTGCGTGCGTGCGTGCGTGCGTGCTGCGTGCGTGCGTGCGTGCGTGCGTGTGTGTGTGTGTGTGTGTGTGGTGTGTGTGTGGACGTGCGCGCGCGCGCGCGCGCGAGAGAGGAGAGAGAGAGAGAGAGAGAGAGGAGAAGCGAGAGAGAGAGAGAGAGAGAGAGTAGAGAGAGAGAGAGAGAGAGAGAGAGAGAGAGAGAGAGAGAGAGAGAAGAGAGAGAGAGAGAAGAGAGAGAGAGAGAGAGAGGGAGGAGAGACGGGAGACGGGAGACGGAGAGTATTGGCACGTAACGACGCTCTCAGCTGATGAGGCTGTATCACGCCATCCGCCCCCCCCCCCCCTCCCTTTCCTGGCAGGAAGGGCAGGCACAGCAGGGAGTCTAACTTCGTGCCTCTGGTTTCTCAGAGGCGTGGCTTAACCATTGCGCTACCGGCACCCCCGTGGGGTTTGCAGTGATGGCTGTTTAAGTGACGCTGAGATTCCGTGAAACATTCCAACAACGCCAACGCTTACAGTCCCCTGAAACGACGACAGAAATATCCGTAGACCCTTCGCTGTGGTATTACTGAGAGTACAGGACGTTTAGAATGTCCCCACCCTTTCTGCCTACACCGAAGCACTGACTAGGGAACCTAAGCTGGGTGAAGTCGGTATTCACTGTGATTTGGGTAAAGTTTTACAAGTAGATCAACCGACTCACTCAATTGTGCGTGACCTGCCGGTTCCTTGCACGACTGCGTTAATGCAGCATGCCAAGGCTGCATTAACGTGGCTTTATTTTGCCCTGTATTTGTGGCATCTGTAGTCTCACATAAAACTGTTTCGTTGCAGTGGTTATTGAACCCTTCGAATCCGGATGATGCCAGGAATTTGATCGGCGATGTCGTCTGCTTCTTTCTGTTGACGGCCCTGGCCGTCATCGCGGCGTACCTCTGTCTGATGGGTGAGTCCTGCTGACTGGAGCTGCCTCTGTCTAATGGGTGAGTCCTGCTGGCTGGAGCTGCCTCTGTCTGATGGGTGAGTCCTGCTGGCTGGAGCTGCCTCTGTCTGATGGGTGAGTCCTGCTGGCTGGAGCTGCCTCTGTCTGACGCTTGGGTCTGGTCTGGTGAACCTTCCACCCATGCCTGGTGCAGGTCTGGCCAAGCTAGCTCTATTCGAGGACACGGAGTGAACTCACCGCCGCAATGCTCTGGTTCGCGGCGACGCTCTGCACTTGTCCCTGGCCGCCTGCGGTGGGCTGAAGCTTGTTGCGATTAGGGAACTGCCTGTCAGTGCCCGTGATGGGATACCGCGCTGGTCCAGTCGTGCTCTGGTCGACTGAGCCTGGCGTGCCGACTGTGCATGGTTCGACCGAGCCTGGCGTGCCGACTGTGCATGGGCCGACTGAGCCTGGCGTGCTGACTGTGCATGGGTCGACTGAGCCTGGCGTGCTGACTGTGCATGGGTCGGCTGAGCCTGGCGTGCCGACTGTGCATGGGTCGGCTGAGCCTGGCGTGCCGACTGTGCATGGGTCGACTGAGCCTGGCGTGCCGACTGTGCATGGGTCGAATGAGCCCGGCGTGCCGACTGTGCATGGGTCGACTGAGCCTGGCGTGCCGACTGTGCATGTGTCGAATGAGCCTGGCGTGCCGACTGTGCATGGGTCGACTGAGCCTGGCGTGCCGACTGTGCATGGGTCGGCTGAGCCTGGCGTGCCGACTGTGCATGGGTCGACTGAGCCTGGCGTGCCGACTGTGCATGGGTCGAATGAGCCCGGCGTGCCGACTGCATGGGTCGACTGAGCCTGGCGTGCCGACTGTGCATGTGTCGAATGAGCCTGGCGTGCCGACTGTGCATGGGTCGACTGAGCCTGGCGTGCCGACTGTGCATGGGTCGACTGAGCCTGGCGTGCCGACTGTGCATGTGTCGACTAAGCCTGGCGTGCCGACTGTGCATGGTTCTCTCGGGAATGCGGCAGAGGCCGACACGTGGGGCCGTGCTGACACCCCTGTGACCCGCGGTCGGCCAGCTCGCCGCGCTCTCTGCCCCAACTCCGGCGGCCCGATGTTGGCAGGCGCGTCCCACTACCTCTCCTACAAGACCCAATGGGAGGCGACCGGCCTGGTGGTGCTCGGTCTCCTCATCTCGTCCATCTACTTCGTATGGCTGGTGGTCACCTGCCGGTAAGTGGTGGTCACGTGTCGGTCAGTGGCGGTCACGTGTCGGTCAGTGATGGTCACGTGTCGGTCATTGGCAGTCACCGCCCGCCGCCGCAGACAGTTGCCCCCCCCCCCCCCCCGCAGCGGCTGCGGCTGCTGATGCCCAGCACACATAAAAATGCCCTCTTTACACCGGAATGCTCCAAGTTTTCAAACACACGTTTCCCGCTGGGCGATCTGCTCGCGGGCTTACCTCATGTCATTGATGTGGTTCTCGTTTCCTCTGAATGAAGCACGTGCGCGCCATCACCCTGCCATCTGACCGCTACTTGCTATGACTCATCATTCATGCATCACGCCAGCTGATGCTCGCCCTGCTGCGCGCTGCTGGCGGCGTGAGCAGCTGCGCTGAGGCCGCGCCCTCCTGCAGGTACCACTGCCGCGTGTGGCACGACTGGCGCCACACCCACCAGGACGTGCACCTGCTGGAGATGAAGCGGCGCTCGCAGTCGACCGTCGAGCTCAACAACAACGCCGCCCAGCTGCCGGCGGCGCTCTGCCCCGGCTGCCAGGGCGGCTCTTACTCGTGCGCGCGCTGTTGCGCCTGCCCCCACCACGTGGTCCAGTTGGAGACGCCCGTCGGCGCCGATGACGTGTTCGAGGAAGGCGGCAGCGGACCGTGCGCCCCTCTGTCCGGTGTGGACACCCCGTCCGCTAGTCATGCCAAGTGACAGTGGCGGCTGGGGATAGGTTGACGGTGGCGGCCCGGCCTCCACCTGGCGGCTGTGGACAAACTCAGGTTGCATGGGAGAGCAATAGATGGCGGCGGAGCACAGTCCGTGGGTGATGTCTATATGGCATGCATGCGCAAGTGGTTTTGTTACGTTGAATTTAAATGATTCGAATTATATGCATATTTGTTGATATTGGCCATAGGTCATGCCGTTAGTTGTGAAACAGGTCGTTGAAACTACAAATATATTGATCTCAATCCTCAAGTCTTCGTGTGTTCTAGCTGTTACACGCAAGCGTTGGGTCACGCGTGCCCAGCCGCTCGCCGCCGGCTTGCGATGCACCTCCAGTGACATGGCCCACCCATACGCAGATGGGAAGAGGCCGCCGAGCGTGCCGCTCGCTAAAACTGGAATGAAGCCGTCTCCGTAGGTCTGGGGAAATACCTGACGCTAAACACAGCGGCGCTGGGTACGGGTCCCAGAGCGGGCGCATTGTTTCAACCGACTGCCCGAGGGGGCATTGCCAGTCACAGCATTGTGGGGTTCGCCAACCCCTTGATATTCTTGTCTGGCAAAGGCGCGTGGGCAAAATTATCCGTGTGACTGGACGGCACAACTCGGGTGACGAATTTAGGAGTGCAGCATACAAGATATGCGTAACAGGTAGTCTGGACCCAACGTCGTCCATGCTAACCATTCGGAATAATTCATTTTCAAAAGTAGCCGGGAAGAGTGGCTGCAGCAACTCGCGGGCGGCGCACCGCCCCCGGACTGAGAAAAACCTTCCGCCATCCTTTCCTGGAACGATGACAGTCCCAAGGAGCCCAGAAGCGATACTCCATGCTGGCTACGCCTAATGGCAGGGATAACTCTAGGCGTCAGAATGTGCACTTGGTTCTGAACGATCCGCGCTCGGCATCTATCTTTACCACTTCACGCCCAGAGACGACGCATACCAGCACAAATGCCCAGAAAATGAGTTAGAGGACATGAAGCGCATGACCATTTCCTTATCAATGCAGCGTGATCTTGGTAAGTTACACCTTTTGAGCAGCTGTATTCGTAACGTGTTTTGACGTATTCCAATTCTCAGATATGCGCTGTATCGTGGAAATGCTGCCGTTCAAA